GATTACATGAAGAAAGTAACTTTAGCATTTCATGATACATACACTCTTGATTGAATAATAAAGAAACAAATCTAACTCCATACAGTGTGTCATAACATTCATAAGCAAAGAAATAATCAATTACAAAGAGCTGTAAATAATATAATATAGTGTAATACACTTTACAATAGCATAGTTCAAAATCACTACAGTATTTTCTAGAAATTACTTGAGTATTTTTCATGTGGAAATGCACACAAAATGGTGTATACACTGTAAAAAGTGACCTTTCACTTTAAAAAAGTGAGTTAACTCGTTGCCTTAAAAGAGACAAGTACTGAAATAACTGAGTAAACCCATTGTAACTTGTAACTGTTAAGTTGATTTAACTTATTATTTTAAATTATGCACAGTTCATTTACTTAAAGGTTTTAAAGCAACATGTTGACTCACTTATTTTAAGTACAGGCAACTATTATATATTATAATATCGTTATATATTATCACGTCATCATTACTCATTCCATCACATCTGGCTAGTTTTGTCTTTAATATCTCAATACGCACATTTATAGCGATTCATTTTCATATTTTTTCATGATAGTATTAAACTTAGCATTAATTTGATAGAGATTACATGTAGACAGTAACTTTAGCAGATCAAACCGATAAAGCTGAGCTTATAGTTTACAAAAAGTTAATGACTAAAAACGTTCAAGGGCGCGAAAATCCTGTAAACGCAACACTGATGATGCAATAAAAGCAGTTTTTCACGGAGTTCATGACAGGTGGATTCAGGTGCGGTTCACCTGGACCAGGTTTTCACCAGCTCCCATGAAAAAAAAAACTGTATTAGGAGTAATGTGAGCGAGCGTGTGGAGAGGAAGTCGGTATTGCGCATAAACTGCCACACCTAATATCAACTTACTTCACTTCCAAAATCCCGAAGGCTCGTGACTCACCCGCGGTCCGCCGTGTGCGTGTCGTTCAGCGCGCTCTCATAACAATATACTGTAGAGACTCAATGCGCGCTCATTTATCTGGCAAAACGGATGAAAGCTCCGAGCGGAAAGCTGAGCTCTGTGTTTCGTGCGCTGCCCTTTTCCGGGTTGACAGCAAGTTAAGTTAAAACCAAAACTAAACGCATCCGGTAGTGGATCTTTATTTTTTTACACGCGGAAAGCGGAACCCAGATGCCGTGTCACACACACGACGCAATATGGGCGACTGTTTGACAGAGCGGGTGAAATAAGTTAGCCTACAGTTATATAAGTACGTTTTTACTATTAATTTGCGTAAATATGAGAGGTTTTCAAACGTTTCAGAAGACGTTAAATTAGATTACAGTTCAGTCAGAGCGCAGATCATCTGACCTGCTTATCGTAGCAACAGTTCCTCTCCAGCGCCTCCATGGAGATGAGTTTGTAACGTTAAAATGTTTTAAAAGATTAGTACCACAAAAAGTAAAGCCTTAATTGTATTTTACTTCAAAGTTACCTCAGATTTACCTCAGGAGGTTTGAAAATACAGGTTTCACTTTATTTTGACGGTCCCTTTAACGCATTTTGTAGTTAATTTAAGTAACATTGCATCTGCAGGCCAGCTAATTAATTCTTATTAGATTATATGAAGACCAGTAAATTGGGGTTAGTGTAAGTTGACATGTACTTGCAAAGTTTCTTAGTTAAATGTGTTGAAGGCGCTGTATTAGCAGATATTAAGCAGTCTACTAATACTAATAGTGAGAATTGATTTTTATGTAGTTGCAATTTAGTCAACAGAATTTTAAAATGTTCTTTCATTATACATCAGCCCTACCTCCACCTCTTGTCAGAAAGATAATGCTTCTAAAATGTACTTTTTAGTTTGAGCTACAGATAACTAAACTCATTGACTACTTAAAGCTCAACTTTAATACAAAATACTGCATTATACACTGGTAAGTGCTTCTGCTCGATGCACAAACATTACGTATTTATTTATTTAACCATTTGATGCACAAGCAATATGCAATCTTTTTATATCCTCCTGAGAACCAAATAAATTGTTTATCTTTTTTCTTTTTGTTTTTTCCCCCTGAAATTTCCTACATTCTTTGGGTTAAAAAAATCTACAATTTAGAAACTTTACATTTTTATTTTTTATTTTTAATTTTACAGCATGTCCACTGTAGTGGACCACAGGACCGTTTTAGTTCAAAATGACCACCAAACTCAGACATCAACACTGTACAGAATATGACTGTAAAAGGATATTAATCCAATAATAATGTAACAAAAACTAAACAAAAACCATTGAAATTCCTGAAACAGTTTAGTCTTATTCAACTTTTAAAAACAAGTTAAAGAAATGGCTAAAAGCAAATCCAGTTTGTAATCATGTGTAATTCTTTTGTCTAACATTTTAAGAAATTTTTATTACTTGTTTTTATCCCTTTGTCATAAGTAACTTTACTGTTTTGTGTATGTGATGTTTTTTTTATTTATTAGGCTGCCTTTTAAAATCTGGCAAGGGGAAACGGATGAAAATTAGCCCTTGTGGCTAACTCTGGCTTATTTACAGTTTTACTGTTTATTAATGGGCATTGTCCCTGTAAATAAAATAAATTCAAATGCTGACAGAGAGTTGAACTCAAAAAAAAAGAAAAACAAACTCAATATAAAATGATTTAAAACTGATTGTCTTTCTTTAATTGTCAGATTCTAAATCAGTCTCCCTCAACTATCTTATAAATAATCTTAGATTCAGTTTTGCCCCCTACAACATGCAGTCATTAAGTACATTAAGATGGTCCTGGTGTCCACTATAGTGGACATTTAAAAAAGGATGATATTTTGAAATACAAACAAGTTAACAGGTTTGAAAGCTAAATGTATTGCTCCTGACACTTTAATAAACAAATATATATGTAAAAATAATAGTAAAAAAACATTTAAAAAGCTAAATTTTACATGCCTCTCTCCTTCACATAAAATGTGATTTTTTTGTATGTCGGCCATGTTGGATGCAGTGTAAGAAGTGGTTCCTTGCATGCCAGCCAATCAAATGACATATCACTAGAAAGCCCAGTATGTCCTCTGAACAGTGCAACAGGACTTGACAGAGTAGCTCTAAAAAATTCATGAAAACACAATGTCCACTACAGAGGACACAGGTCAATGGGCGGGGTCTCAGGAGGATAAAGCACAAAATGGGTCCAAAATAAACAATATTCATTCAGTTATTTTAACAATAGCTGAGTGTATCTTTGCTAAATCTGAATATAACATTTTTTTTATTTCATTACTTTATCAATTCCTTAATTTCTTATCGGTTTTCCACATATGGGGAAAACAAAAACTCCTCTATAATTCTTTGATATTTGTCATTTTGCAAGTATTGTATAGTTCAAAAGTAAAAATGAAACATTGACTCTTGAATAACGAGTAATGAAAATTATTTCTTGCAAAGATGGAACATAAAAACTCAACCGGGTCACTTTAGACCTATTTTGTGCATCAAAGGGTTAAAATAACCGTTCAATTTCTGCAGCTTTGTCCACTGGACATTTATGGCAAGATCTGAATCTCTGGCTCCACCACATCCCAAACTGTACTGCAATCTGGTTGTAGAGAACTCACTGCATGTGCAAGAAACCAATTGGAGAGGATTCAACCTTTAGAAGATTTTCTTTTGAGAAGTAGCATCACAAGATGGTTTAAGCAGGCTATAGTCATAATAGAATGGACATGGTCAGCAATAACACTCACTCACCACTGTGGAGTTGAAATAACTCTCAGCTGATGCTAAAGGGAGCCAAGAAAATCTTTCACCAGATTACATCACAGCTGAACCATTGATACAAGACCAAATTCTCATCCTACCTCCAAATATTGAAGCAGAGTTTCATCCACACAGACAACTGTTTTCCAGTCCTTTGTTGTCAAGTCTTGGTGATCCAATGCATATTGTAGCCTCAGTCTGCTGTTCTTATCTTTCAAGAGAAGGTTTTTTTTCTGCTGCTGCTGATATAACCATTGAGTTGTTGTGCATTCAGAAATGATCCTCTGCAGAACCAGTTTGACCATTCTCCTCTGACATCAACAAGGCATTTCTAGACCTGAAACTTTTGTTTGTTCATTAAAATCCCACAGGTGAATTGGGTAAGCTAAATTGTCCGTTGTGTGTGTGTGTGTGAATGGATGTTTCCCAGAGATGGGTTGCAGCTGGAAGGGCATCTGCTGCATAAAAACGTGCTGGATAAGTTGGTGGTTCATTCCACTGTGGCGACCCTAGATTACTTAAGGGACTAAGCCGAAATGAATAAATTAATTAAAATCCCAGAGGATCAACTGTTTCTGAAACGCAGACCAGACTGCAAGGCAGCAAAAACCATGCCATGTTCAAGGTCACTTAGACTATCTGTGTCGACACATATGGACTGTTAAGACAATGTTTTTGGTTCTTCTTTTGGATCTTCTTAACAACATCTACATCTATAAATGCACAGAGTTGCTGCCATGTGATTGGCTGATTTGATATTTGCATTAACACACTGAATTGAGTAGATGTACCTAATAAAGTGGCCTTTGAAAGATGCTCTGCTTGCATTTTAACATGAGACAAAAAGCTGGAATTGTTGCCGATCAATTTTTGTCAAGCGCTGTTAGACTCTTCAGTCAAATGTTGTATTTTTTAAAAACAATAATCTGTGCATGTAAATAAACAGGTTTTAAGTAAAACAACACATAAAATCACAACCTTAGATTAACCAAAATACACCACAGGCAAAACTGAAATCTTAAACCGGTTCTTTAGGAGAAACAGTTGTGTAGCTGTGAAATGAGGCAGGTTTGTACTTGCTTTGCTGATGTAACGGCACAGCCAGCATAACTCTGTACTAGGATTTTCTTTACAGAATGAAAAGAGTGTCAAGTCAAAATAATGATTTAAATAGGTCAGTTACATTTGCCTAATTATCTGCAGGCTGTTAACAACAACATCAATGCACTGAATCTGAGAAAGAAAAAACACAACAAAAATAATGGTCTCGTCTAATTTATGTAAAAATAAATCTTATATAAACTGTAGGAAAGTATATAGTAGTTGTGATTTCTTTTCCATCCAGTAATGCTTAACTCTTTTTAAACAGCAGCAAGTCAGAATATATCAAACACAGTGTGGAACTATTACAGACTTTTACAAAATAGTGTAAACCAGACCAACAAATGAACTTATAATCATATTGTGAAATATAACAAATCAGGATCTTTTATCTGCATTTAAATCTTGTTAGAGAAACAAATGTATAGTAATTATACAGAAGTTCCAGTCATATCTCACAAATGACTCAATAAATTTGAAGTTTTAAGTTTGTACACAGATGCAATGTGAAAACACTCTACAAATAAACAACACAATGGATGCAACAGCTAAAACAATACTGAATGTTTTCACAAAGCAGAAAGATGAACAACAATGAATACTAAATCAGGTCATTTATTAGAGTTTCAGTCAATTTCATCTATAAAAAGCTAAGTTAGGTTAAAACTTTCTAAAATATTTCCATGACCTACATTTACACTTTTAGTTTATTACAAACAGTAAAGCTCTCACTGGAAAGCTTATCGATTGTGAGAAATTACATGTGCGTTGAAGATATATGGTTAAATATTTACGATAAACAATAAATTATTTTTTCTGAACAAAAGTGTACTTACCAATGGTAAGAAATGTGATTTGATTAAAAAACAACAACATAATTCATGACACAGAACAGGTATCATTTGAAAGGATGCGTGTGAATGTGTAAATGTTCATGCTTAAAATCCCATTGGTACCAAAAGCTTCACTTGGTGTTTCTGCAATGCAAAAGAACAGAGGATAAGAGTTATTCAATTCAATTTAAATTTATTTGTGTAGCACTTTTTATAATGATTATTCTTTCGAAGCTGTTTTACAAAAGGTGCAGTTTTACTTTATTACTTTATTACTGTATTACTTTACAATCAAATTAACTTAAAGTTACAATCAGATACAAGTTATTATCAGTGGTGTAAAGTAATAAATTACAAATACTCAAACTACTGTAATTTTTCAATACTGTAGTTTTTCTCAAAAATGTTAATTTACAAAGAAGTTTTAAAAACGCAACTTTTACTTTCTCTTGAGAACGGTTTTAGGGCATTATCTGTACTTTTACTCCACTACTTTCCTTCAACTTGCAGTCACTATTTTTTCTTGGCTATGGTGATTAGAAAAATCTGTCCTGCGAGTCCAAACAAATCGCATATGGAAGATAAATCGCATTATAATGAACCATCTCAAGACATGGGTGATTTATAATAGCAGCAAACTGGTTGGAAGCATTAAAAGTGTCCATAAAAATCTTTATACGCATTGACCCAGAGACTGTTTAGATGCATGTCACTGATGAGAAGGATTTTTTTTTTTTTATCAAAATGGCCTCAAACTCCCAGCAGGCACAAGATGTCAACATTACGGCAGTGGGGGCATTGCATTTTGTTCAGAAATAAAAATCGGGTTGAGGTCAGAAGCAACGTCAGGCCAACAATGTTAATATCCAACCTAAAAGCAACCAAATATCAACGTCTAATGATGTGACAGCTTGACGTTGTGTGGACGAAACCACTCTGAAGTCTATCAGATGTTGGATTTAGGTTGCCACAACCTGACAAATAAATGTCAGTATCTGATGTCAATATGACTTTGGTTTAAGATGTTGGCTTGACGTTGGATTTTGGTCACTTTCGAACGCAACCTAAATTCAACCAAATATCAACATCATTTGATGTTGTGATTAGGCATCAAAATAACGTCCTTAGACGATGGCTAGACATTGAACTTTGGTCACCTGACATAAACCTAAATCTAACCTAATATTAACATCGCATGATGTTGTTTATCTGCTGGGCAATGACTAAATGCACTACAGAATGTTCCGTTTACACACATCCACAAATTAGATATTTACTTAAAATTTATTAAAAATAAAAACCTGAGAAATCACATTTACATAAGTATTCACAGCCTTTGCTCAATACTTTGTTGATGCACCTTTGGCAGCAATTACAGACTCAAGTGTAATACTCATTACTACTCTTGAGTACTTTTAAAGGTCTACTTTTTACTCTTACTTTTTACTTTAAGTGATCTTTACAACAGATACTTTTACTTTACTTGCACTACATTTTTTTAGGCAGGTAATAGTACTTTAACTATGGTAATGAGAGACAATAGTGGAAATTTTACAACAATTCAAAGAATAAATATTTTGAATGAAACCTGCTTTCCATTAAGTCTCTAATTTTATTTCAGTTTCATTCTACATATTGATCTACATTGGCTGACCTTAATGTCTGAAGTTTAATGTAAATGATCTATAACTATCTTTCAGCAGCATGTTTGAGTCGTAGATTTTGTACAGCTATTTTAAACGGATCACATGGTTTTGGTTGTCTTGGGGATTAGTTGGATTAGTTGGTTACAAAATGTAACCTTTATGAAATGAGTTACTCTGTATATCCCTAGTTGGATTGATCCAGTCTATCTATAACTGCACTGAAGGTTAATACTTGATGTAATGTAATGTAACATTAAATATTATTACATCATTACTTTGTACAAGTAGATGAATAGAAATATACACTATTTGACAAAATTCTTGTTGCCTATTCACGTTTTGGAACAACAAATCATAATAACTTGACTTCTAGTTGATCATTTGGTATCAGAAGTGGCTTATTTGAAAGGCAAAGGCCTCTAGATTACACTTATTTTACTAAATAATATTAAAAACTTATTAATAAAGTCATCTGGAATGGCAAAGGATTAATGCAGGACTCCCATAGTTCATCAAGATTCTTTGGATTCATCTTTAATGCCTCCCCCTACATCTTGCATCTCCCTACACCCCAGACATGCTCAATAATGTTCATGTCTGATGACTGGGCTGGCTAATACTGGAGCACCTTGACATTCTTTGCTTTCAGGAACTATGATGTGGAGGATGAATTATGAGGAGCGTTATCCTGCTGAAGAATTTGCCCTCTGCTGTGGTTTGTAATGTAATGGCCAGCAAAAATATCTTGATGCCTCAGGCTGTTGATGTTGCCATTCACTCTGCAGATCTCTCGCACACCCCCATTCTGAATGTAACCCCAAACCATGATTTTTCCTTCACCAAACTTGACTGATTTCTATGAGATTCTTGGGTCCATGAGGGTTCTGATAGGTCTACTGCAGTATTTGTGATGATTGGGATGCAGTTCAACAGATTAATCTGAAAAATCTACCTTCTGCCACTTTTCCAAATGATCAACTGCTGTAGAGGTCAAGTTATTATTTGTTGCTCTTAAAACTGGTATCAACGACAAGACTTTTGTCAGGTAGTGTAAGACTAAAACATTCTCAAGAGGAGTCATATTTAATATGGTGGTATAGACTATGTATAGGAATTTTACAGTATTACTAGAATCAGTGTTGTGTTACTTGGGTAAAAAAAAATAATGAATTGCTAATTAAATCACAGTTTTCTAATTTCCATGTCTGAAAAGTAACTTAACTGATACTCAATATAAACTCCTTATAATACTCAATGTATATAGACAACAAAAAATGATTAATTCCAGCAATTTGAGTAAAATGGGCCTTTTAGCTTTACGAAAAAATAATACTTAAAAAAAACACAAAATGTTTGAAAAGTAATGATAATATATTTTAAATATACAACATAATTGTCAGAAAAAAATGTCAGAAGGGAAAAAAGAAAATTGTTCTTAAAAAAAGGATAAGATGTAATAATTAAAGACAGAATTATTAGCCCCCCTTTGATTTTTTTCCTTTTTAAATATTTCCCAAATTAGGTTTAACAGAGCAAGGAAAGTTTTTACAGTATGTTTAATAATATTTTTTCTTCTGGAGAAAGTCTTATTTGATTTTTTTGCCAAGAATAAAAGCAGTTTTTAAATAATAAAAAAACAAAAACATTTTAAGGTCAAAATTATTAGCCGCTTTAAGCTATACTTTTTTCAATAGTCTACAGAACAAATCGTCTTTGTACAATAACTTGCCTAATTACCTAGTAACCTAATTAACCTAGTTAAGCCTTTAAATGTCCCTTTAAGCTGTATAGAAGTGTCTTGAAAAATATCTAGTCAAATATTATTTACTGTCATCATTGCAAAGATAAAATAAATCAGTTATTAGAAATGAGTTATTAAAACTATTATGTTTAGAAATGTGTTGAAAAAAATTTTCTCTCTAACAGAAATTGGGGAAAAAATAAACAGGGGAGCTGATAATTCTGACTTCAACAGCATACACACACTAATACTCTGCTTCTCTAAATTTGTCATACATGGTCATGAATAAGCTCTTAATCAATTCTTTGTTTCCTAAGCATGTGCAATCATCTTGATAAATGTTTTTTTTAGTAGAAAAATATAATTAATCTGCAAAATAATGTCTAAAAAATACAATTGATGTGCTTCACTGAACTGATTTATATTTTAAGTCAAGTAAACTGTAAATGAATTACTTAAAAATGAAAAGCAATGCCGTACTTTGTTGCCAGATTTGTAATTTGATTATAGTAACAAGTTACTTTACTAACACACAACACTGACCAGAATGACTTCTGAATTTTGATTTTGATAAAGGGCATGCAGTGATTTATTGCTTTAATCACCGGTTTGTTTTGTAAGAAATAATTTGAAGGTCGTATGCTGCCTTAATGTAACATGATTTCATAACCTTCAGGTTAAGCCCCTGAGCGCAGCTAAAGATCAGTTTGTCTGATAATGTTATCAGTGCCAAATCTAGAAAGGAACCAGGAACCAAGAACTGACATAAAACTTTAAATAACTGAACAAGTTTTCACTAGTTTTTTCCAGCTGCATCTGCAGTGAATATGACAAAACCAGTTACATTTTTATAAGTGCTGTTAAAATCAAAGCTTGCTTTTATAGTACAGATTATGATTAGTTTGTTTAGAAGAACTTTTAAACCTATTAATGACTCAATTAAACTGAATGCAATAAGATTTTATTTATTGAAAACCATGTAGACTTTTTAGTTAAAAACACAAGTTAAACTCACCTGTAATGAACACTGGAAACCGTACAGAGGCGTTTTGAATCTGGAGACGAGTCAGACAGAAGAAGTAGTCCGGTCGTTCCCGTGATATTACATCACAGTCGTGATAGGGCAAGACCTCGATTACGCCAGCTTTCTGACAAAAATCAATGAACTGTTGCTTCTTGTTTGCCTCAGGACTGGACCTGTTGGAGAGAGTTTGATTGTGGAAGATTGTCAGACTAACATTTCAAATGTGAGTGGAGCGAGAAATATCCTGTGCCAAAAACTAAATACGCAGTTACTACCAAAAGCAGATATTCTTTAAAGAGATTATATGCAAGAGTTTTTATGTAATAACCAACTTTAATCTCTACTGCGTGAATAACTTGAAGGAATTACTCGAGGAGTAAAGCTTGTTAACAAAATTTCATGTTGGCTTGACAAAACTGCAAGAATGCTAACATGATTTATGATGATGTTAATATATTTGTAAAAAGTTAGCATATTAGCATCAGTTGACGTACTACGAATTCATATTTTGATACATATAGCATGATCATTTTGCTAGTATGATATTAGCGTTAATTAACATGGTACTAGAATGGATTAACTTGTAACTAGTTTGAATTAACTTGTTTGCACGTTTCTAGCATTAATTAACATGTTGCTACCATTTTTAGCATTAATACGTAGCTAACAAGCCCACCCTTATTTCACTATGCCATTCCTGTTCAAATATATGACTGGTTAAGTATATGATAAGATTGCTTAAATGGTCAAAATGGTTGCTTGGTCATAGCTAGGTAGTGGAATTAACACCATTTACAGGTTGAATGCTAATCTGTGGCTACACGTGTTGCTTATAACAAAAACGTTTCTAAATTCCACAGAGTTTTAAAGGTATGAAATGAAGCTAGTTTTGTTTCAGTCACAGGTAAACTCTTACCTTGCGCTTTCCCGAAGCCTGCGGCTGTCCCTATAGTGCAGAAACCATTTCCATTTGCCTTGCTTGTCTAACTCCTCCAGGATGCCCACAAGTTTCTTCATGTCATCTTCATATAAAATTGACAAAAATTATTTCCAATAAAAATGTCATGAAGTTCAATTTCAATAAAACAGCATGCATAAATTGTGTAGACACGTGATCAGTACCTAGAGTGAGTGCGTTAAGAGCCAGTTCATCACACATTATAAAGCCTCCTTTAGCAAAAAGCTCTTGGTGAGTGCAGTTCACCACGTCATCAGGTCGGTCGATGCCAGCAAATAGAACACTGGGCGATTTCTTCAGTTCCAGTAAATGAGGGACCTGGTTAAATAAATTGACAGAATGCAATTATAAATGAATAAAACTTATTACTCATATAAAAGGTCTTTGCACACTTTCGTATGTGTTTTTTTTGGTATTCATATGCAAAAAATTTGTCAGGTACAAAAACCATGCACACGGAGTCTGGTGCGTATTCAATTAAATTCACCTTTATTTGTATAGCGCTTTTACAATATAGATTGTGTCAAAGCAGCTTCACATAGAAATAGAAGTAAATTGAAACAGTGTAGTACAGTTTTCAGTGTTTAAGTTCAGATTAGCTCAGCTCAGTGTGGTTTAATAATCACTACTAAGAGTCCAAACACTGAAGAGCAAATCCATCAATGCATAGCTCTACAGATCCCGAACCATGCAAGCCAGTGGCGAGAAAAAAGAACTTCACCACTAGGCGAAAGTGAAGAATTAAAAAAACATAGAGAGAAACCAGGTTCTGTTTGGCACGACCATTTCTCCACTGGCCAAACGTCTTGTGCAGAGCTGCAGTCTAGGCTGGAGAATGCTGGTCCTCAGCGAAGACTAGTATTAATGAATCCATTACGAAAAAATGCAAAACATTTAAGAGGGGTCTGGCTGCAGACTTGGTGCAGTGCAATCTGAGCTGCATCCAATGCTTTTTAACGTGCTCACCTAACCCCACCCCTAACCCTACCTATCACAGTGACATCACTCACTCCATTGAGTGCATTGTGTCTGACATTGCATCGCTGAGTGATGCAATCTCAGCTTGCATCATAAAGGCTGCATCCAGATATTATTGAAACATTTCAGAGTCATTTCAAGCAGTAATGCTTCTCTCTCTCGTCCAAAAGAAAAAGAAAGAGGAATTTGCTACATATTGTGTTCATCTAATACTAGAAGAAGAGTTCTCCTCCTTATCAAAGAGCTGCGCTGGATTACCCTCAGATGCAAAGTTTATTTCATAAAATCAGTGGAATTTTTGATACATTGCTTGTGAAACACTTTTACGTATGTAAACAAACCCGAAACAGAGACTAGCAGTAGAGTAGCCTACCTATTGGCATTTTAATAGGTTGCGACCGTGATGAAGTATCGGAGCAATGGGCCGAAGCGGACCATGAGGTGATTATAATGTACGTCAAATAAACTCTATCCCAACTGAACTGTCAAAACACCCCACAAAGTGATTTTTCAAGTGTGAAAAATGAAAAATATTGAACAGTTTGAATTTTTTTTATGACAGACGAAAGCTCTGGAGTCAGTGTGCCAATACGATTAACACAACGAGAGGTCGAAATTATTTTTTACTTTGCAAAAATTATGGAAAAAAAATTCAGAGTCAGTGCATAAAAAGATCTAAGGGTGCTTTCACACTAGCACTTTTGGTCTGCACCTGGGTTCATTTGACATTAAAGTACACTACATTTAGCTAGTGTGAACAGAATAGGGTCTTCTGAACTCAGGACTATCAAACTTGGGTTTGGTTCAGGCAATTCAACCAAGTGGAAAGCACCCTGAAAAGTCCATATAGAAACAGATTTAAATTTTCATAAACATTCTAGCGACTACTACAATAAACAGTCTAATAAATAATGAATTGCCAATGTCAGTTAGGAGGATATGTCATCAGTATAGTTTACAATAATTCTTTTAAGTATGGAGTGTCAAGTGGCCCCAGTGAGCTATATAGCCATTGTGGATCATTATATAAAAATTGTCTTGTTGAATTTATAGCATTTATTTGTGTTTTGTTTTACTTAATAAGCCAAAATACAATATGAAACTTGTCAGTTGTTGACTGTCAGTTATGAGTTTTGCTCATTCACTCACCTCACATATGTGTTCTGCAATGTCCTCATTCCTCAGTATAATGAGAAGAGGTTGATCCTCACCATCGAGGTTGAAGTTGTCTGGCTCAACTGGCATATGGCCCTCACTCTCCATCAGGTTCTACCAATCATACACATTTTTATTAAAATCTTTGCCATTAAGTACACCACTTTATATTTATGCATACACGTTCTTACCTTGGTTTCTTCAAAGAAAGTATCTGTTGACGTTCCATGAATATAGAATCTGTATTTTTTCTTGGATGCCTGCCTCACAACAGACTTCAGATTCTCTTGAGGACTGTCAAAAACATCTTTCTTGATTCGACCAGAAGATCGAGGATGTTGGCCAGTGCGCTCTCGATTGTATTTCCTCTTGAGTGCCTTGGTTGGAGGTGGAAGATTCTTCCCACTGCAGACTTCTTTCATCCTGGACTTGTAAGCAACAGCACATTGCTCTGTTATTTCAGAAATGCCTGCAAACTCCTCGATATTGGCTTTTCCACAGAACAGTTTTTGGAAATGTGGTTTGCTGGTTTTTACAGACTCCCTCATCCCTTTCCTTTCGGACAAGTCCACGTTCAGTTTAAAATCCGAAAGAAAAGGTTGTGCTTTAAGTTCATCAGTGCTTTCATTTTCACTGAGATTTGAAAATTGAACAGTCATGCCACACGATTCAGGATTTGTCCGACAACGTGGTGTGGAAATAATAGGGCTCTTACTATCCTTAAGAACCTGATTCATTTGATCAGAGAAGATGAGGTACTCGCAATCAACCGTAGACCGGGTCCCATCAGCCATACTCTGTTGTTCTTGCCAACGATTAAAAGAGTCTTCGAAAGTTTTATTTGAACTACTTCCACTGACGGCAGCAAAAGATGGTTTGGCTGTGGGAGAGTTACTGAATGTTACGCGGTATCCTTTCCTATCTAAAACGGTGACAATGGATGAGGGTGGGACATCAAATTTGTTATCCCTTTCACATGCATCTAATAGCTGATTGGAAGTTGCCTCCCTTCTGAAATACGCCCGCCAGTCAAATTGTTGCTTACTGGAAGATGGTTGAGAACTAACGGTGATTCTATTTGGCACTGATCGATGAGTTTCAGAGCTTGAAGTTTTTCTGATGCTGTAGTCCACAAAACTATTGGAAGTGTCATCATCGTCCCATTCAGAATGTCGACGAAATTCACTCTTTCTAGACTTTTTCTTTTTTGCATAGTCAGTAGTACAAGTAACCTTTATTGGATATTTGGGCTCGATTTTGTAGTTTGGCTCCCAACAATACTCATCCATCTCCTTCCTTGCTCGCTTTTTGTGCTTATAAAAATACTCGCTTTCAGATGCAATTTGCTGTGAACAAGTGGGTGGCTCATAGTCACCACTAAAGTCGCTTTCACGTGGATGAACAACTGGTTCCTCTGTTTGGTAATCATACCATTGTAAACCTTCATCAGTTCCATGGTAATAGTCATAATAATCATCTACGTTATCATGACCATAAAATAGTTCTGAATCATTTTGAGATGCACCCTGTCGGAAGTCATATTTCTTGTTATCTTTTTCATGGTAGTTGGGACAGAGTTTGTGTCTTAACTGGAAAGAGTCCTCACTGGACGAATCCTCAGTAGTTGAATCAGATTTATCTTTAAAGGCCTCTGCTTCTGGGCATTTGCTCATCTTCCACCTTGGTTCATCATGATGGGTTTCTTCATAATGTCCCATCAGATCAGAAAATGGCTTAGGGGTAGAAACACAAGTTTGGGAGCTTTCAAGACTTTCAAGTGGCAACACATCATTGTGATGAGCTACAGTTTTGTCAGGAAAGCACAGTTTTCTGTCCAGATCTTCTACCCTCAACTCTTTGTTTACTTCTGGATAACATATTTCAGGAATTTCATCTTGAGTAGGAGTAGAGCACATGCTGTTTATCTCCAATTCTGAAGGTTTGTCATTCTTCGAATCTTGAGGAGCAAACATTTCAATAGTAGATTCAGTCACTGTTTTGGGGAGAGATACACCAATTTTGGGAGACAAACGCTGAATGGATTGTGTCTCAATCTTCTCAACAAGTGTATCCTCCTCCCTTCTGGCTTCAGATACATCTTGTTGGCCTACCTCCTCTTCGTCCTCTGTTTCTGATAGAATAAGATCTAATTTAGTGGTTTCAACAGCACTTGTTTGTTTTGAATCATACTGACAAGTGTCAAGAACATCATTTGAGGCCACTAAATTCTGCTCAAGGATTTTGAAATCATGTTGGTCTTTTATTAATCTAAAAGGATCAATAGTAGAATCTGAGGTTTGTTTACCTTGAACAGGCATGGGTTGATCCTCATCTGAGCATGAATCATTAGCAAATTCTTGAAGGATATTATATTCAAGGCTTGCCTCCTCTGGTGTCATAGGTTGCTTTTTACTCTTTTGCATCTTCATATCATTATTGCTACTCATATCACAATCATTCTCATTACTGAATTCCATATCAAGACTGTTTGTGTCATCATTCAGATGCAAAATAAACCCATCTGGATGTTCTCCCATTGCTGTGAATGTCTCATGTTCAGTATCACTGCCATTCAGTTTAGCCCTTTCCTTTGACTTTATCTTATCTTCTTGCATCATTTCCTCACCTGTATAACCTTCTTTCTTTTCTACATGCTCTTCAGTATCATTCTCGCCAAGCACATGAGATGATGTGTTAACTGCATTTGACTGAACTTTCAGAACAAGATATTCTTGGTCATTAGAAATATTATTATCATTAGTCCCATCTGATGAAGCATCTTTCAGCTCATCAATCGCAGTAGTGGGATCTTTCAGATTATGCAAAGGTTTAAGATCTTCCTTTGCATTAGAAGTTTTCTTATGCTCTTCAATGATAATCTCATGTGTTGAACCGTCTTTCAGATCTCCATTCGCATTAGAAGTTTCCTTATGCTCTTCAACAGTAATCTTATGTGTTGAGGCATCTTTCAGGTCATCATCCGTATTTGTGTGATCATTCTGCTCATGCACAAGCTTAAGATCTTCCCTTGCACTAGCAGTCTCATTATGCTCTTCAGCTCCGGTCTCATCTGATGAAACATCTCTTTGCTCGTCAGCATGGTCAACAGCATTTGTGCTCTCTGTCAAATGCTCTTCAACACTTGTCTCATTTGATGAAGCAACTTTCTGGTTATCCTCTGTATTTGCGCGATCATTCTGATCAAGTACAGGTTTAAGATCTTCCTTTGCACTAGAAGTCTCGTTATGCTCTTCAACTCTTGTCTCATCTGATGAAATATCACTCAACTCATCAACATTTGTGTAATCTAGCTCATCATTTGCATCTGATGTCTCATTATGCTCTTCAATGCTTGTCTCAAGTGTTGAAGCATCTCTCGGGTCATCAACCTTATATGCATAAACTTTGAGATCTTGTGCAGCCTCTTTATGCTTTGTAGCACTAGTCTGAATTTGGTTAGGCATTTCAGAAGTCATGTTTTCCACAATCGTCAGAGGTTCATTCAGGATATCTTCATCAGAGACCTTTTCAATCTCTGCAGTTGCAGATGGACTCTGTTTTTGTAAAGAAACAGAGGCTGTGTCTCCAGTTTTAAATTCTGAAGTCTTGTCAAGATTTCCGTCAGCCATATTTTTTGGGCAACCTTCTTTCATTCCATGTGATCTAAAAATCCCTTTACTGTCTGAACTGTCAGACACATCTTTCTTTTGCTGTGTTGCATGGTCAGTTTTGTTATTTAAACTTAAATCAAAATGTTTCTGTCCCAAAATCAGCCGACTTGGACTTGAGAATTCTGCCGGTTTAAGTACTTGATGGAACACACAGATTTTTTTAGGATCCGAAGTGGATGCTTTGTTATTTGAAACGCTTCTGATCTTTGGCAGATGTATCCGGACACCTATTCTCATATTTGATGCTTGATCACACAACTGGGTGTACGCACTGTTTCCTTCCATAATCTGAGAATAGGAGTGGTCAGTGGCGATATCATTTTCTTCATCAGTGTCCGTGTCACTGTCAGGCACTGACTTTTCCTGTGGCGTGTCAACAGCCGATCTGTAATTCTGTAACATAATAAATCAAAATCAACATCAAATTGCACAGTCATGCTGAAAAAAATAACTGAGAATAGCACAGAACAGTTTATATATTGTGAACAGTGTAACAAAAATTGTACAATACAGTTACCATCAAGGCTTCAACTTGACTTGGGGAGCCACTTGTCCCAGCAGATGAATGCTTTGTTGGCGTTTCATGTTTTTTAGATGATATTCCCACAGGCTCTGATGCGGTGTCCTTTGTTCTGCTTTGATCTGAGATTGAACAGGGAGTCACGGGCTCACCATTTTTCACAGATAGATCTAAAACCCCTGATGACAGATGTGCAGGCTTGGGCGAGCCTTCTTTCGTGTTTAACTCAACATTGAGCAATGACACCGCACTCTGAATGGCATTTTTATCCAGATGGACCTTTTCTATATCCTTCCCCTTTGGAAGTATAGTACTATTTTCAAGGTGAAATAATCTGGAAGTGGATTTACTATAGAAAAGACCAATCCACATGTGAAAAATGAGATGAACATCCTCAAAGGTGTCTTCAATATTGAAGTTCCATTTCCTGTAAACATTAAGAAAAAGAAATTTGGAAATTCAAATGCTGAATGTGTAATTATTGATTATGATGACTGGAATGGTTACCACAAAACTGTAATTAAGGGAAACTTAAATCAATCACCACAAAAACTGCTGTAGAAGGTCAAAACCTTTTCTTATATTTAGCATATTAGCATATTTCAAGTATGTGTGCAAAATCTTTGGGTTTTTCATTTAACAGCCACTACCTACTAGAGTAATTATTTATTAATACTATTAGGGATGCTCATAATAACTGATTTACCATTAACCAAAAGAGTGTTAATTAATGTTATAAGTTAAATGATTAAAAAAGTATTATACATTTTTTATATTGGCTGCATAAATGTGCAACACATATTTGTTAACTCGTGAGATGGTAACACATGCAACCACACGTGCCTACAGACATATTTTGCCAAAGAAGCAAAATGAAAGAAGAATACTGCTGGTCACAGTTTGACACAGACAAGTTGATGCCAAAGCAGTGCTGATGCTGATTGCCTCTGTCCTGGATCTGCATCATAAACATCATAAATGTATTTGCACAATTGAAGAAAAGAGGCCGCAAGACAACACTTTCTGAAATGTGCACTGCTTTGGAAACATGCCAGCCACAAGTCAGATTGTCAGGACTTTCTCTCTATCAGAGCGCGCTCCGGAACTGTTCATAAAAACAACAAATAGGCTATAGTTGTGATGATTTAGTGTACAACCAGCAAACCAACCTCTTTTCCATTTGGAAAATTACAGTTAATAATAGTTCTTATAAAATATCCGGTCACACTTTATTTTGATGGTCCGTTTGTCGAATTAAGTTACATTGCATCTACATGCCGACTAATTCTCATTAGATTATGCTGTAAGTAGACTTAGATTGCAGTTTAGTATAAGTTGACATTAACTTGCAAAGTTTTTATAGTCAGTTAAATGTCTGCTGTAGGAGCATGTCAACAGATATTAAGCAGACAGTCTACTAATACCCAAATAGACCATCAAAATAAAGTTTTACCAGATATTTATTTTTAAAATAGCCTATATTATCTACGAATCAAACAAATTCAAAGATTTTCTTGATTTTTGCATAATGATAACTCCGAACGAAACTGAGGCTTTCATTTTATAGCTTATAAAACTTTAAATTATTGCAATTATTGCAAATTATTGCAATTTCATATGTAAAAAAAAAACAAATACAAAACTGTTAAATGCTTTAGTAACCTATACTTTCATAGTCAACATAAGTGCATTGTCATTATCTTTCATCACAGACAGCGCGCACATATACCATGGGTAAGAGGAAATAAAAGCATGCAAGCTCCAAGGTAAAACCAGACGCTCAAGAAATAATCTTTAAAATAATGACTTCTATTAAAAATGTTAACAGAGGTTTATGATATAAAAATAACAGCGGAGCATTAATTAAATGCATATTTTCTGTGGAGCGATCGATTTGAGGTAGCCTGCTATTTTTATTTGATGAAGAAAAATGGAGATTTGATGGGAAAAAAAAGCCTTTGCCGGATCATACAAAAATGATTCAGTCAGTGTTGTTGTTTTGTAATCTAAATTTGTCATTTAAATAAAAAAATCTAGGGCTGAACTATTTTTTTTCTTTTTATTTATTTGAATCAGTTTTTCTATGCTGTTGGAAACACTGCAGGTGCAAGAAGATGTTCTGTTGTTAATATGTTCGCATGTTAAAATAAATCATTATTTTAAATTAAGTAATATTTAATGTGTCAGACACGAAACAGACATGTCAACTATTATTCCTTTTTAATAAATTATTATTTAATATTAAGTTAACGGCTGTTAGTTGGCAAAATTAACTGAAATAAGCATGCCTAAATACTATAATTTCTATTTACAAACTAACAAATTAACTTACAAACTTACGAGATTAATAAATCGGTCAGTTATATTAATAGGAAATATAAATATATTTACAAGAAGGACAAGTGATGCTTACCCATGAAGTGCTCGTGAGACAGTTTTGTCTAGACTGTCATTGGTGAACTTGCTGTCATATTTAAAATCATACGCTTCTTTCCAAGTCCTCATCACTTCAATCTTTCCCTCTTTTTCAATGATGCATCTGTTGCGTAAAATTTTTGGTCGTCTAGTTTTTGTCTTGAAGACCGATGGCACTGGCTTATTTGGAGAAATCAGATGCTTCCACTCCGTTTTGCCTCTGTCCTCTTGATGAAATGGAACCACACAATCTTTGGGCATGTTAAGAAGAAGCCCACTTTTCAATGAAAGTGGTGATTCTACACATCCAGATAGCGAAGAAACTTGAGATGACGGACCTGACAGCGAAGAGGTGGACTGTGAGTAAGAATGCTCTTTTGAGATTTCCAAAATTAGTTCCCCAGTCGCTAACAGACTTTCTGGAAAAGGAGACCTGGGGGGTAACTTAAACCTGGCAGATGGACAACGAAGCAGAGCATGAAGGACTGACTCAGGGGAGCCACTAGCCTTGACTACATCAATGGCTTCCAGGCCAGTTTTGGCTTCTAGGTTTGTTAACATTTTATCATTACTTGAACCAAGAGCCAAGTCAGCCAGTAAACTCAGAGCATCTGAGGGCAGAGATGGACCTGTGCTCAGTCTCTCTGTGCTGGCTTTGCCATCAATGCTAATTCTTCTCCTTCCCACCCTATCCCCAATAAGCGATGATATGAGCTGCTGTTCAGTGTGTTTAGCTATTTCAAAAGATGCTGATGGGTCAAAATTGAGGGACCCTGTAAGAAATAGACAAAGACAAAGCATAAACAGAGAGGCACAAGAAAGAGGAAGTACACATTGACAGCTGTCTTTAGAAGCAGAAGAGCAAGCACACGAGAGACAAAAAGATGGAAAGGGAACTTGTGGGGCCAATTTTAAAACACCAGCTTAATCGTGTCAAACTGGTCACATAATTCACAGTGGACTAAAATTTAATAGTGTGGGCAAATATAGACTAAACTAATGTTTGCAGGCAAAGAGTGTTAAGAAATGGACAGAGTATGTCAACAATTTCTTACCATTTTCTTTTTGGGTCTTGGAAATAAGACCTCTCCAAGACACTGCTTGTTTGGTTAAGTCCACAGTTTTCATTGGCGTATGTTGTGCCTCATCATTCCTGGGTTGTGACATTTTGTTTTTCAACTTATTCTTGGCAATATCATACAGCAGACCCCCGGCAGAGTTCAACTTTTGCCTTTTTGATTCTGGGTTATCTGCTTCAGACTTTGCACCATCGCTGGGGGAAGTAGATTTCACCTGGTTTCCCCTTCGGAGTACAGTTTTTAATTTGCTTATAGATATTGCACTGTACACAGTGTGTTTTGTTTTCTTCTTGTTTTTGTCAGGGGAGGAAACTTTAGGATCCGAGTCCTTGGATTGTTCAGAAACATTGGGAGGACTGGAAGTAGCATCTTCTTGAACAGCAACTGGATTGTCTTTATTTGTTTGTTGGAGGCCTATGGTCTCATTTGACGTAGTATTCATAGATTTTTCTGGAAATGGATTTTGACGTTTGTCAAGTTCTAATGGGTTGTTTTGGTGAAGTTTTCTCAAAATCTTTAATGCTGACAAGAGAGCACTTGGCATTTCAGTTGAAGGGCTGTCCTTTGGGTCTTCATCATCATTGACCACTGGATCTTTAGAGGGCAATTCTACCTTCTCAGATGAGGGAGATTCTTCTTTACTTTCCACCATTTCTATGGACTTGTTCTCCACAGGAGAAACTGTTTTAGATTTTGTGTCACTTTCATCTTGCATTTTATCATTTTGCCTCTTATTTGCAGACTTTCCGTCAACATCTGAACCGTGTGGAACAAAGACTCTGCCACAGTTTGTGATTATGGTCTTTAGACCATATCGTTCCCTCAAGTTACATCCTTCCATCTTCCTCTTTGGAACACTAGGCAGACTTCTCTTTGTGTCATCATGGTGAGGGTCTGCTATAGACTCATTTTCATTCTTTGCAGTATTTGATCTTAAAGAACGTTTCAGAGTGGCATCAGGACTCCACAATCTTTTACGCCTTGGAAGAGACCGCCAGTTGTTTTTTGAAAGACTTGTCTCATCTTTTATACTCTGATCACTTGCTGATTCAGTTGACACATTTAATAAAGAATCCTGGTTCTTGTCCTGTCTGGCTTTACTGATATTTTGTTTAACAAAATCTTTCTTGTATCCTTTCCCGCTCCTAGTCGAATGTGGTCTCTGATTGGTGTCATCAGCGTGCAGAGTCTCAGTCTGAGTCTTGCCTTTTGTAGGGACTTCAGTGGAGTTCACTGGCAAAACGAAAGGTGAAGTTGAGGTTTGTAAAGCAAGCTTTTTTTGAATCTGTAAAGTTTTCCAATGAATTTTGCACTTCTTACCTTTACGCACTGAAAAGGGTCTGCGATTTACTCTCTTTTTAGGATCAGCCACTGTTTTCTCTGTTTGTTTATTATCTTCCATCCCCCCATCTACAGCAGTATCACCTTCTGCTGCAGATGTATTTAATGGTGTAGTGCTATTCTGGATGGGAGTCTTTTTTGTAGACAAATCTACACAAACTCCATCAGTATCTCCTTTATTACTGCCTTTAGATATTTTCTCAACATTGGTGTCAATACTTACAGAATTGTCTGTAGGGACATCGCCCAATTTGGGTGACACTGTGGAAGTTGGATACTCTAACACAATGTCGGCTGTAACTACAGCCGTTCCCAATTTCCCAAGCCTCTCTGAAACAGCAGGTTGAAGTTGTTCTGTAGACGAATGAGCGTGCTCATCTTTTTCTCTATCAAGTTTATTAATGGTCCTGTCAGAGGCGTCACTGGTAGCCTCTGTTAGTTTTGTCACCTCCGTTTCAATGAAGGCATCAGTCTGTGGCATCTCCTCAGGTGATGATATATAGTAATAAACATCATCATCATGATCATCTCCACGCTGCTTTCGACCTGTAGTGAGCAACTCCAATGCCCTCACTACAGGAATCGTAAAGCCACAAGGCTCATCAAAATATGATTTTAATCGAGTGCCAGTTTCCTTTGTCCATTTAGGCGATATTAGAGTAAAACCACCAGGCACATCATATTGGTCTGGAAACATACTGGCTTCCCTGGTGGGAATGTCCAATGGTTCTGTGTGAAAAAGTGTACCATAGTCTTGTAAATGCTTTTCTAAAGGAGCCTGAGAAGTCCCATGCTGGTTTTGAGTAGATTTTTCCATCTCCATTTCTGCATAGTTGAGTGCTGGAATGACTTGCATTATTTCTGTTGACACCTTAGTGTTTTGCAAACCAGTCTTGGTATCTAAACACACACACATATACAAAAAAAAATAGTCTGTAACGATAAAGAAAGTACACAGATTTTTTTAAAGGAAACTCAATTACTATTTCTTGTTACCTTTTGGTACAGTTCTTGAGTCTGGGAAAATAAACATGCCTTGAAGTGCTTCTGCTTTACCCGACTTTGCATCTAGAAACAAAAGAAATTTACGTTTTACAAAATCAACAGTAATACCATTTTAAGCCATTTTGGTTTCAGATGCTTATTTTTTTCAATCAAGATGTGCAAAGTGTACCGTGAGACAAACCAAACTAACCAGTTTCAATGTGAATCTCCAATTACAAACTTAGAGATTAGGCAAAAAACAAAACAAAGGTGCAACACTACATATTTAATGTCTGTAGTGATGGATTGAAGTCGTGAACTCAAATTAATAAAGCGTTAGAATTGGAGTTGTGTTTTCCTTAGACAACACGTTACCTTCAAAAGAGAAAAGGTGTGAAGAGTGTAGCAAAATAAGGAACCCAGAATCTTCCAGTGGTATTACAAGAGCCTGGTGAAGAGAAAATAACATGAGACAAGTTTGTTTGTTTGGAGATTTATTCTGTGGTCTTGTCCGATGACGTATTTTCCTCTTTCCCATATTTACCATGTCTTTTTCCTTTAGCTCTTGGGCTATTTGGGCAAGATCATTTTTCGCCTTAGAGGACACAACGTCATACAAGTTGAAACATCTGCCACCTATGCAAACTGTGAGGAGATGAAAGAAACCAAATTACAGTTTCGCCCAAGCTTTTGTTTACAGTTTATGCACTAATGTTGAAATGTAGTACACACCTTCACCCACAATGCAAGTTTCAAAGATTTCTCGCGGCAAGGTCCTCTTGAGTTCAGACACACCAATTGCATGGTCAATTTTAACTGTCTTGGGGCTGAAATTACAGTGCTTTTTTAATTTTGTAGTTTACAAGTAAACGTACAGTGCTTCAGAATGAATCTAAACTTTAGGAGCAATATCAAAAGACATCTGGTTTACAATATCAAAAAAAAAAGAGAGATTCAAAATGTATCCTTGAAAAACTCACAGTTTTGTAGGAAACCAAGCTCCGCTTGTGGACTGAAGGCCAACATCATAAACATTGGATTCAATCTTAAATTGGCCAATCCATGGCTTGTAATGAAACACTACAAAACAAGATACAGTCTGGTATTAACATACTCCTAGGTGTCATTTACACAAATATTGTAGAAATTAGTTTTATCAACCTACAAAAATGATTTTTCATTTTTAGTTTGAAAACAATCATGATCTGTTTTAGCATAAATGGAGACCGACTTCCAAAATAAGGCATGTGGCTATCCACAACGGCTCTCTCATTAGTGGTTGTTGCTAAATCAGATATGGTTGTATCTGGAAGTTAACAAAAGTTATTTACATTATTTATTAAATTTCCCATTAATTGTTTTTTTGTCTACCCCCAAAAACCTGTAGTGACCTAAAAACAGTAGTTGTACTAAGTATTATTTATGTTATTTATAAAATTACTCAATCAATTTTTTTTTAACGTGTACCTCTACTCTAACGTCACAGTACTGTAAAAATATGAATTATTGTTATACAGTTGTAGCGGTATTTGGCTGAAAAATGGGTTGAGGAGTAGAAGTAGAAAACCCCATTACATTTTTTCAAATAATTCAATATAACAAAAAAAAATTCTACAAATGCATGATTTAATCAAATGTTCAATCAAGCAAATTAATATATTAATAAAAGAGAAAAAAAATAAAAGCAAACCAGCTTAAACTTTAGCACATTTTAGTTCAACCCATAAACCAAACAAACTTAAATGCCATAAAAAAAAACACTGCTATATTGATGTGCATATCATACTTCCGGCCAGCCGGGCCTCCTATCTAGACTTTACCCTGATTAGTCCTCTAGACTATTGATTATCATTGCCTGGTTCATCAAGCTCCTCGCATATGACCAATATCTAATGGATAGGTGATAAGTCCAGATGGCAGGAAAATAATTGCATTCTCTCTGAGGGTGAATGGTAATGTCATTAAGCAACCAAGAAAAAGAAAAGTGCGCACATCTAGGATTTTAAAAGGCAGGTGCCCGATTAAAAATGAACACAGTATTGTTTGCAGGAGTGATGTATAGAGCTTGACTGTTTCTTGAGTTTTCCAATTGTCTTGTTTAACCTGATGAAGATCATGTAGGTTTAAATGTTGTTACATAAAAAAAATTCAGAGCTAAAGTGGCAGTGAGCAGATTTTCTTTTTGACCTTTTGCCACTCTGAATGGTAATGTATCATGTGTTTTACACTATACAGTGTAGATAGAGATTGTTTAAAAAAAAAAAAAAAACACCTTAAATGACTATTTACAACATACTGAATATTGTTATAAACAATGAATAGTCAAAGTTTGAAGCCCAATTCAATGAACTAAAAATCTGTAATTCTTACCTGTTTTGTCTTGGCTTGAAAAAGCAAACAAACAAAGAAAACAGAACTTTAGTAATCAAAATCCCCATTAGCATATGTAAAAATGTTCATAAAAATGTGTATATTATTGGCAAAAAAACTATATTAAATGTCTGAACCTCTTTTGCTCCAACTCTGTAGAGGTGCTCATCTTCCCATAAGAAAATGCTACAATGGCAAAAGGACACGCATGTCTCGGACAGGCTTCTGTTTTACTGCTTCCCTTACAGATCTCATAAAAGTAGTACTGCAAGACAAACCAGCCTTGTTAGATATACAGTTAGATAATAAGAAAGAGAGGAAACCGTTTTGAGAACTCTATCACCTGTGTTCGCTCAAACGCCAAGAAAGAACTGGTAGTTGAAGATACTGCACCAAGCTGCTCTGATACATGGCAGTCAAAGCCAGGTGTTGGAGGAGTGAAATTCTGGGTGTAGTTGTCTTTGACCTCTTTCACTTTGCCCTGATGATTACCAACACAAGAAATGATGTTTGCATGTGGTGCATTTAGAGAGAAAATCAGCACAAACACTACAAAAATGCTTTTCGTACTTATGTAGTTTATGCTAGTTTAAAAAAAAAATCTTAAATCAAGCAGCAAAATATATTTTTGTTTTCAAAATGAAGTGAGTTTTTCATAAAGATGAATTAATTAATCAGCCAATAGGGTAATTAAAACAATCTTGTCTTCGTTTTGAAATAATTTTATTATTATTATTATTATTTTATCCACTGGCGTATTGTTTAGCTAAATTTAAGGAAATACTCACCTAATTTTGCCTTATTTTATTCTGAAAACAATGCAACGTTTTTACTTGTCTAGAAAATGCTTCTTGATTTAAGAATGTTTAGATATTTGAACAAAAAAAAAGGCATTTCTTTGCAATGAAAAACTGCAATGGAAGAACAACAATCAATTTCACACCAAATTATCAAAAGTGTACCTTGGTGAGCTTCAAAAGCACTATGTAGCCAGTCTTGCCATCATACCACCGCTTCAGGTCAAGGCAGTCAGAGTATTTTGAAATGTAGACACCTAATTTAGAGGTAATTATCAGAATTATAATGTAATATTCACCTTAGCCAACCACAGAAAACAACTCCATTATGATAAACTCACTGCTTAACACCCTGTTTAACACCTACATTTCTTAAGAACCACACAGTAATTCTACACAATTAGACTCTGTTCATTACCTACATTTCTTAAGAAACACAGTGATTCTAAACAATTAGACCCTGTTCATGACCTACATTTCTTAAGAAACACGCAATTACTCTATACAATTAAGACATTAAAGTCTCACCTTAGAAACATTTAGGTCCAAATATTTCTGATTTAAATGTTCAAAATAAAACGTGATGTATAAACTGTAAACATTAACATTTTAAAAAAGCTTTTTTGTTACAAAATCAAATCAAACCTCACAACATGTTGCAGAAGTTTCAGGTGTAACTCTGAGAAACTCTAGGAAATGTTATGAATAGCACACACAGGCTGTAACAGACCAACAAAAAACAGGAAAAACTCGTTTTTCTGCATTTATGGATTGGAAAAAGGTGCACCAGGAGTTCTAAGAATTGTCTGATTGCCACAACATGTTCCTCTAGTGAGAGTTTAATCTTTAGTTCTGATAATTATTAAACCATAGTCCTCACATAGCCAGGCTTTTGAAAGAAAGAAAATGTGGTCCAGATTGCAGTAAAAAAAAAAGAAATTCATATCTTCTAGTACAAACCAATGACTCAGATGCCTTAAACAACAATCATTCTCCAAAGATTTGTTGCTATTAAAAGGTATAGTTTACCCAAAACTGTCAAATCTGTTATCATTTAATCAAACTTCACTAGTCGCAAACCTGTTCGAGTTTCTTTTTCTGTTGAACACAAATGAAGATATTTTAAAAAATGTTGAATAATTCCATAGAAGTATACATAGTTACTTCCATAGTTTTTGTTTTTCCCTACTATGAAAGTCAATGGTTGCAGGTTTCTAACATTTGTCAAAATATATTCTTCATGTTTAACAGAAAAAAGGAACTCAAACCGGTTTTACAAGTAAAGGTTGAGTAAATAGTGAGAAAATCTTTTTTAATTTGTGAACTATCCCTTTAATTGAGAATAAAAAGTGTGTTAAATACAGCACTGTAACTATGGCTCTTTTTTTCTTCAGACTGGTGTACATAATGTGTACACACTTTCTCCTAAACCTGTTGTATTTAACCACAAAATCAGATTTCAGCATATCTTGAGCCACTTTAAGCCCTGACAACGCATCAACATTTCTGAAATACAAAACATTCCCAGTCATTTCAGGCCTTTTTAGACTCAATCATATTCAAACTTTAATACATAAACTTCATCCTGTCCACCTAAAAATGAATCAACTTAAAACGTAAATACTAGGACCACAACACACAGTCAACGTCACATAAACTTTACTCTTTGGTTATTTACTCTTATTTACTCTACTGTAGCCAAGATAGAAGCTGCTTTTACACTTTGAAGCTTGCGTGAATACATTCACCCTCACAGGAAAAAGAAGTGGTTCAAACCACATAAACTTAGTCATACTTTAAAAACTTAAATAAAATCACACACCACCCATGAATTTGTTATGAATTTCATGATATGGTTTAACTATTTACAATCACCTTTGCCTTTACAAACCTATTCTATCATTCTGAAGATGTTGTAGTATTTTTAAAATGATTTAAAGTTGCTCTTTAGAATATGGTCCTTCAGGAGTGGCATTTGCATTACACTTATCTGGATTAAACTGAACTGAACTTCAACGGTTTTAATTTAACTAGAACTGCACTGGCATTTCACACTACTTGCATCCCTGTATGAACTGTGCAATGGTCCACATTTGGGCTGCACAATATATCGTTTCAGCATTGATATAGCAATGTGTGTGTCCGCAATAGTCACATCGCAAGATCTGCAATGTTGAGTAGAATTGAATTTAAGTTTTATTTGACAAATTTTAGACAAGCTGTACAAAAATACAAGTATCCCATACATTTTCAAATAAAACCCAAACAAAAGCCCTGGGCTTGTTTCCATTGTGGTCCTCACTGTTAAATAAAACAAGTATGGCTTCAAAATACAGTTGATGCATAAAACAAACAGTACCTCCACATTTTAAAACAGGAACAAAATTATACACAAATACATTTATTCCTTCATTCATTCATTTTCTTTTCAGCTTAGTCCCTCTATTAATCAGGGGTCGCCACAGCGGAATGAACTGCCAACTTTTAAGTTTGAGATTATAGTTGATCAAAATTGATAATACATAGGATTTGCAAATACATGAGTCATTGCAAATGTAACTTTAGTAAAGAATACTTTGACTGAATTACTACAGTGAAGACTACTGTGTTATTTTACATTTCATAATTCAATTTCTGTACCTGAATACTGTTTGACTGTTTCTTTGACTTTTTTTCATCTGCTCTATTGCAATTTTTCTTGCTTGCAATTTGTTTATTACATTTAAACATGATTCAAACCCTTTCTATATCACCTCATTTGGTCTATATTCAAGATTTTGTTCCAAATAGAGCTCTTCAAGCCACTTTCTAAAATTGTAATCATATCGAAATTAATAATAACAGAAAAACAAGATATCGCAATGTCAGATTTCTAAAATATTGTGCAACCCTAGTCCACATTTAAAAATATTATGGCTTCTTATTCTTTTTTTCTTCATCTATGTTAAGCTGTTTTGACACAATCTACATTGTAAAAAGCAATATAGAAACAAAGATTTTTCCTTTTTAATTTATTTAAAACTAAATAGTAGTTGTACTACTATAAACAAAACAAAAAAACAAAAGCACAGATGAAAACAATAGAACAAAGATTTAAATTAAATAAACAGTCATTTATGTTTTTCGGTGGTATTCAGGTACAGGAATTCAATTATCAGATTTAAAATAACACTCTAGTATTGAACAATTCAAATACAATTCATATTTTTTAAGTGGCAAACTTTATTTTAAAGTCAAACTATCATTTATTACACCCAAATGGTTTAAATTTGCTTAAAATCTTCCAGTCACAAGCCTTAAAAACACATTTACATAAAAAAGTCATACTATTAGATTAAACTGTGGTTCCTGGTTAATTATAATCCTAATTTGACATTGCAGATCTTGCTACTGTATGTGCACAGAATTGCACATTATAATATCGATGCCGGAATGATATATTGTGCAGCTCTAATATCTTGCCAAAAAAATCCTAATTTCTCCACGATAAAACCATCTTCCCTAGTAGTTTATGATAGCCGTGCAGTCCTCAGCAAATAACGTTGTCTAAATGTTTAATTTAGACTGTCATAAATACTTCAGTGTCTAGGCTACTTGATCCCATAGGCTAGTGGGAAGACCTGTGTAAGGAATAGCCTTCACTTTCTCTTTCTATAGATTAATCATGTCTCCTACATTGCAGTATGATTCAGTTTCACTTTTTCTTTCCATTTGTAGAAGAGATTGCAGACCTAGAAATATGCAGTCCACCTGTCCAAAACTGAAAACGCTTGTTATTCGTTTTTAACAAGCTATTTTTAAGAAGTTTTTCCTTATTATTATGGTACTTTGGTATGTGTGATTCAATGTTAATTTAATAAAACCATTTAGAAAACTGCAACTATAAGGTGAATGCAGAAATGATCTGAATCACTTTAATGAAAAAGCTGCCGGTGACATTCAGTGACAATAATACATTTATATCAAGTCTGGTCTGACTGGAATGAACCTCCTCTAAGATGATCTCATTGCAGTCACATGTGAAATATTATCACATACATGCAAGTAAACACAGCAGGTTGTTATGCAGAAACAATCAGGAAATAATCCAATGGTTAGCTTTCCTTACCTTTCAAGGAGTCTCCAAGGGTGGAGCATTTCGCTCGCCCAACCAACAAGCCTGTTTCACCAACTTTCCTTGCCTGTGGAGGAACAAATGGGGTTTGAAGATTCACAAAGTTCTGGTCTGACATCAAGGTTGATTCAATGAAGGTTATATCTGTATACCCTGTTAATATCATCAAGTAACAGGAAGCCAAATGACTCTTCAAGTTCCTGTTCAGAGTATCCTTTTTCTCGTTTCTCAGAGCGAAATGCAGCATACTGTTGGAACACAACATTCATTCATTTGTAACATGAGATAAATCTCACTTAATCACTCAAAGTTTGCGCTGTAGAAAGGCTTACCCGTTGTTGTGAAGCAGGATTGTTGATCAAATGGGCTGAGTTGTATGTAAAAAATTCTTTTGATTCTTTATACAAATAGTTGTTATGAAGCGGAGCTAGAATACTTTCGGTAAAGGTTACTGAGCCTAGTTGAACAGGCTCCAGGAGACCTGGGAGGACATGACATATGACAGAATTACACACATTTCTTTATGATCTTTCAAAACACTCATTTTTTCACACCAAACAAAGAAAGCTGAGGATTTTCTAGGTCACTTTCTGTCAACATTCAGAGATAAGCAGAGAACACATTGTCAGGTCATCTCAAGGACGTTGGATATTTTGCAAATATTAAGCTAAACTGTAGGTGAGAACTCATGCTGTGAATGACTAGCTTAGCAAAAGAACTGTTTGGCAGAAAAAAACTCCTCTAAAACAAACAAAAATGTGTTCAACATTAAATTATAGGTCATTGCGCAATCCTTCAACTGAAAAAAAATCCCATGTTGTTGACTATATCAGGGACTATTGCACAAGACTACACTAATCTTGGAGGATTGAGTCGTTATGTCAAATATTAAATATATTTAATCATACTGATCAAATTAATCAGTAACACAAAATACAATCTGCAGGCTTCTTCACATGATGGATTTCCAGCTTTTCTTTAAGAAAAATCCAGTTTTTAATAGCAGCAGAGCAGATAGATCGACTATAGCTAACTATTCGGTAGTTCTAACATTTAGTCAAGTTGGTTTTGAAACAAGATAGCTGACAAAACATCTAAAGAGCATCTCTAGAGAATCAGTTTCTATACTTCAAAACACATTCTTTTCTATATAGACACTTAATAAACTACAGTTTTAAGTGTAGTAAGCATGTTTTTCAGCATGCTAACTACCATTTAATTACATGGTTAAACTATGGTTAGCGTTTTTTTTTTTTTCTTTTAGTTGTAGAAAACCCATTTATTAATTGGATTAATATAACACAGATCAACTTTTTCAACAACTCGAAAGATGTATAAATGTATTAAAAACACATATTTGTGGTCTTTATGTGTTTGTTATATGTACAAATCTTCCAATTATATACTAAACCTTTCATGTCATATCAGCAGCATTGAGCTATATTCATGGCAGCAATGAAAATAAATATTCAATACAGAATTTACAATCATAACAGCTGAACAAACATGAGATCTTTCAATTTGGTCAGTGATAAATATTCCTAATTATTTAAACATTTGCCTTAAAATATTTCCTGACTAAAAATGTGCCATAATCTTCTATAAAACTAAGATTAAAGAATACTTTCATGCTTTAACATGAAGAAACATCTGGAAAACACTAGTGGGCAAATAAGGCCCAGCATAAGATATTGTACAGTAGAGAACTGAACATGTTATTATTAAACTTCATCACAAAGCTAACCAAATGTAAAACTAGCACGTGTATAATTACCAGGCCCATGCTGACTCAACTGCAGAACTGGTTTAGAGTTAAAAGCAGCCAGCCAGCCAACCAAACCAGTACCAGGGTCTTATTTCAACCAGAATAGATAGCCAAGTCGTTTAAAACTGAGCATATATGCTGCAACGATGTATATTTAAATATATATGAATTAAATTGACAATTTAGCAGTTTTGTTTGCAGTCAACACAAACAAAAACAAATAACGTAGCCAAACTTCACATAAATAGATTTTTGACTAAATATATATTAGTATAAATGTATGTTTACAGACTAGCATACATTACACGAACACTATTGACGTCAAAACAGAAACTAAACGCGTCAGAGAGTCCAATAACCCGAGTTACCTTCTGTTGGTCGTTTAGTCTCATTCTCCATGAAGACGAGGCATAGATCACAGGTTCTCGCTTTGCACTCGATATTTTAGATATTTCTAATCCTCGGCGGTTCACGACATTCCTGCTGACCGAATAAAACGATAGTATATTTTCAGTTAATTCTTGGTGAAGTGTTCGCTGGAAGCTCTAAAGAGAATTATATTTGTCTACGACTGGTCTCTCGGGTTGAACTGCGTTTTGGAGGACTTGAATTGTACTATGTGACTGTGTTGCAACCAGGAAGCGAATCCGCATAAAGACAGCAAAGGCTGGGCTGTGAAAACGAACGGCTGCCAGCGAGTCGGTTTGAAATAAACGGTCGTTTGAAACCGAATTGAAATTCTAACCGGGATTCGGATTCACTCGACAGCGCGCGCTTTCTACTGCCTTCGGTTTCCAGGAGAGAAGCTCGCGCGAGTCAAAACGAAACGAAAAAGAAACAGAAAGTCAGAAGTTTGCGTCCATCTTGCGTCCCACTCACAGTTCGTCTTCACGCCGCTAGTAGTCGCAGCTCATGTTTACACGACGGCGTTCAAAGCAGATCGTACGCTGAGTTATCTCAAGATGTTCGGTTAGTATATGAAAGAGAAGGTGCAAAATGGTCATATTTAGATAATGAGAAGACGCCAATACATTGGAGTAAACAAATATCTAACACTGATCTGAAAAGACGACATTTGCTCTTCCGGTCGCTAGAGGGAGCTATCTGGTTTCCTGCATTCCCAATGTCCGGTCTTTCGCCTGTAAGAACATTTAGTTCTGGACGAGATGTTCACTGAGCAAAACAAAACAGCATTTCTGGCTGCAAACCTTTCTACTGCCAAAGCCAACAAATGTTTATGAGCAACGATTAAACATTATTTGTATAAAAAGAAATATATCAGAAGACATACTTTAAAATACAAAATAAATATAGGCTACTTTACAAACCGATACAAATGTTGATTTAAATATACTTGTTTTGAATATTAGGATTAATAAATTAAAAGTATAATCTTTAACTTACACATGATACTCTTTTCCGCTGAGTATATAGCCTATCTACACTTCATGTAGTTTTGCAAACTGTCTTATAAACAAATTGATATATCATCAGTATAACGTACCTAAGGGGATAGTTCACTCAAAAAATGAAAAATTTGCCTTTTACTCTCCCTTCACTTGTTACAAACCTGTTTGAGTTTATTCTGTTAAGAAGGTATTTTGAAGAAAGCTCCAAATCTGTAACAATTTAACTACTTTTAAAAGTATATGGTTACAGGTTTCCTCAAAATATAATTTGTTCATAACAGAAAGATTATGGAGGACGATACCTGCGAAAACAATAAACAGATAAATATGCCAATATATAAATGAGTAAATAAATCCATTAATTCCCACATAAAACAAATAAATATGCAAATAAAGAAATTGATTAATAAAATCCACAAATTCTTGCATAAATAAAACAATAAATATGCAAATAAATAAAGAAATTTACATATAAAACCCACAAATTCCTGCATAAATGAATATGTAAATAATTAAAAATGCAGACAGGTAAACAATTAAATAAACGAATGTTGGGGAATTGCTAGATTATTTACTTTCATTAAATAAGTTTAAATATTTGCATATTTTTTATTGATTGTTTTTGCAGGTTTTTTCCTCCATACAAGATACTTGTAAAAATGTATAACAACTTGAAGCTGAGTACATTTTTAGGTGAACTATCCCTTTAAAATTACAATAATCTGTAAATAGCAAACTGAAAGTATTATGCTTTTAATTGCCTTAAATCTTATTGATATTAGTGTAGTTATTTTCATCTTACTACATATACTTATAGCCGATATAATTATATAGATTTTGCTTTACATGTAAAAATAAGGGCTGCACAGTGGCACAGTTAGTAATACATTCGCCTCACAGCAAGAAGCTCGCTGGTTAGAGCCTTGGCAGGGTCAGTTGGCGTTTCTGTCTGGAGTTTGCATGTTCTCCCCTTGTTCGGTAGGGTTTCCACCGGGTGCTCCGCTTTCCCCCACAAGTCCAAAAACATGTGGTATAGGTGAATTGGGTAGGCTAAATTATTCGTAGTGTATAAGTGTGAATGAGTGTGTATGGATGTTTTCCAGTGATGGGTTGCAGCATGAAGGGCATCCGCTGCATAAAACATATGCTGGATAAGTTGGCGGTTCAATCCGCTGTGGTGACCCCAGATTAATAAAGGGACTAAGCCGAAAAGAAAACGAATGAATGTAAAAATTAAATCAATTTGAATTAAAATATAGCACTTTTAGATAAGATTAATCTTTTCTAAAAGTACTATGTTTTAATTAATATTTCAAAACCTGTATGTTTTAAATGAGAACTTACTGAAGTATGCAGTTCATTAACATCACTTGAATGAATTCAGAGTTGTTAATAGACTAATAATAATTACTTAATAGCATTTATTGATTTGGGATGTTTTAACAGATTGCCAGCTCATTTGGATTTAGCAATACAATAGAACGGGGGTGCCCCAACTCGGTCCTGGAGAGCTGGTGTCCTGCAGATTTTAGCTCCAACTTGACTCAACACATCTCCACGGATGTTTCTAGAAAGCCTAGTAAAGGTGCAGTCCCACTAGAGTTTGAGCATGCGATTTTCTGTCATGCGGCGCTGCGAAAAAGGGGCGAAATTAAACAAGATGATTAGACATTTTAAAAAGTGAGTGATTGCTCCATGTTTTAAACTTCTGTCCAGAGAGGTCATGTTTTGAACTTCAATTGGTCTCACGCAGTCAAGTGATGCGATTTCGCAGGTCAGAGTTCACCAAGCTTGAACTTTGCACCGCAGCAACCTGCAAAACTTGACGCATGACCCTGCGTTTCCGGTCTGACGCATTCGCATGCGTATGAATAGAAGTCTATGGGAGGAAAGGCCCTGCAGCTTAAGAGCTTGATTAGCTAGCCCAGGTGTGTCTGATTAGGGTTGGAAGTAAACTTTGCAGGCCCTCCAGGAACGAGTTTGGGCACCCCTGCAATAGAATGTATTACATTAAAACAAACATTGATCATGTAAATATTAAAAAATATTCCAGTAGTCTTCTCAAAAAAAACAAAATAAATCTATGAATCAAAAATGTAAATGTGCAAATACATAAAATATAAATACCAAATCCAAAACCATTGATCAAACAAACAGCCATACAAACATACAATCTGGAAAAAGGAACCATGCGCATCATTACAAATAAAAAAAAAAAAACATATTACAAATGGTTTGCAGTCGTTTCAACTTTCCCAGAAAGCAGACCATTCTCTCTTCACCTAACGACACAATTTTCGGTCTAGTTGGAAAAGGGCTTTATAAGTCCATTATCCATGGCTTTGGACAGGCAGGCACGAGCTGCGTCTATAGCGTTCTGCTTCTTGGGGTTGTCCTCTAGTTTTGCCACATATGTCAGGATTTCCAGCATGTCACTTTCAACGAGCTTCTTGGCTAGTTGATCATCAGCATCCAGCATGTTAAACACCGTCACAAGACCTCTGTGTTGAATCTCAGGGTTATCGTGGATGCACAGTCTCTGCAGGATCTCAAGCCACTGCTCAGTCTGTTGATGAAAAAACAAAGGAGAGTCGGTCATCTTTTGTATGAGTGTCTTTAGCAAAATAATTGTACCTATGTAAGGAATAATTGATGACAGGCAGTTGAGTTGTTTGAAAATAATTCACGACCTTCTTGCTGTGATGCGACAATTCTAACAACTTAGCCACCCTTTACTTTGGTTATCACACCTAATATCATTGTTCAAATGTTGTATTAAGAGACCCTTTATAACTTTTTCTGTGTGTGCAGGAGGAGTTTCTTTTGCCTGCCATCCAAAGCCTTTGGTTTCGATTGGAATTTTGACATTTGTAGGTTGTGATATATGTGAAATCAATCATGTTGTCAAAACCTGCCTGGAACTACTTTAGCTGTGAGTTTATCTGAAAATATTTGCACATCGTACACTGTGTCCTTATAACATGTGAAGCGGCAAGTTTCCAGCGACAAGTAATTTGACTGTACCAGATGCGACACGACAGAAACATTTAAACATCTTTATGATATAAATGACGAATATGAAACCTCTTTAATATTTTAATAATATTTTAAGTACTTTTAATATTATTTAAAGTAAAAGTGACTAATGTTGTTATAACGTTATAACGTTTATATTTAAATTACATGTATGCTAATTATATTATTTATAAGATCTGAGATTTTTTGTTCTTAAATCTCTAAAACGTGCGTGAGCTACTGTCACTAGCTGTTTCCATCCACCTATTTTTATGCGCATTTTGGACTTGCGCATAAAAAAAGGATGATTAAAACGCCAAGATGCACACCAATTTTGAAAATCTCATTCAAACGCCACGCGTTCATTGCATGTTTGTTTGCATTTGTTTTTCTGAGGCGCAAGTAATTTATTAATTAAAGAAATGATTCACGCAGCTTCTCCTACCACAGCAGTCTATTTGGCACCAGTTAATCAGGAAGTGACGATTTAGTTCTCTTTGACTTATTGGATGGAAACACTGCTTTATTTGCACATCTCTTATGTGACATTCCAGTTTTGCGCATACATTTATTGCGCACCTTTGGATGGAAACATAATGACTGTACCATTCTATCATAGAATTTCAGCCCTCCAATTAGGATCTGCATCCCCAAATCAGGGCTTATATGTAAGGGAGATTGTGCTTTCTGCATTGCAACTCCCAGGCTTAGGACCACCTTACCACTTTCAATAAGACAAGCACCTTCCACTGCCAGCTTTAAGACTAGACTTAAGATTTATTTGTGTACAAAGGCATTTGGTTGTTAGGAGGTATGAACGATACTCTTAGTCCATCTGCGTTCTGTTGATTTGTTGGGAAGCACTTTGGCCAACTATCAGCTGCCGCTTTCAGTATGGCAAGAGATGCCATTCAGGGTTGTCACAGCGGAAAGAACTGCCAACTTTTCCAGCATTTGTTTTACGCAGTGGATGCCCTTCCAGCTGCAACCCAACACTGGGAAACACCCATACACACTTTCACACACATACACTACGGCCAATTTAGCTAATTCAATTCACCTATAGCTCATGTTTTTGGACTGTGGGTGCGAGACATGGGGAGAACATGCAAACTCCATACAGAAATGCCAACTGACTCAGCCGGGGCTCGAACCAGTGACCTTCTTGCTGTCAGGCGATTGTGTTAACCAGTATTTAAACTCATACTGGTAACATTTAACACTTTATAAAGCACATAATAAGCATCCAAGGTGATCATTGTCATTGTAGTTTGTGTCGAAGAAATAGAAAAATGAAATATTCACAGATGATCATATTTGCCTCTTACATATCAGAATATTCACCTTCACAGTTGGTCAATCCTACATACAGCACCTTTAAAAGTACATACCACTTTAGTCATCTTAACAGCCAGTTTCTTCTGTGCGGCAGTGAGCATCGCCAGAGCCCCGGCTGCTGCCCTCTGAAGCTTCTCCTCATCCTCACCGCAGAGAAGCACTAGAAGCTTGAGCTTATCGTTGCCGTCTTCCAGATATCTGTCTTGGACCTGTTAAAAGAATCTGCTCAATATTGCCATCCACTTGTAAGAGGCATTTTTTGGTTAGCAGAATGTTGTTCATACCTCCTTGCAGCAAACTA